ACACACACGGTCACTTATATACAGACACAGCGGGCCCTATTTCAGGATGCTGTCAGCAGGGGGACAGAGGCTAGAGGAAACACAGGATGAATTCTCCTTTGCCTCATTCCATCACACTGCCATGACACCCCTATTTACCTCTTCCATCTATCTCCACACTGGCTGTCTACTACCTTGGCTTGTTTGTGTGTGTGTGTGTGTGTGTGTGTGTGTGTGTGTGTGTGTGTGTGTGTGTGTGTGTGTGTGGGTGCTTGTTGTGTGGGTATAGCTGTACATGTGCCACCCTAAGCACATTCACAGTGATAGAGTGAGTGAGTTGAGTTGAGCTGGATACTGTATATTGTGCACTGCGGTGTTAAAACATGCTGTACGGCCCATCAGCGTTTGTTTCTCAGGCTGAAACACTGACGCTCGCTCTCGCAGGAAGTTTCCTTATCAGCGTTTGCATTGGTACAATTCTGGATGTTTCCCAAGCAATTTCTCCAAATGATGAGCTCTTAATTCTGCTGCAGTACTTTTTTTTCTTATCAAGTCTTCGAGATGCTTGGGAACCCGGTCGTGATCCAATGCCTTTGCTTCACACCTCATACGTCCTCCTGCGATATGAGAAAGCCCCTTTCATTGGAGGGGTGGAGGAGCGTTCTATCCAATTCCCCAATCTCATTTTTGCTCTGAGAGAAATGTTCCTTTTCTTGATGCCTCTCGCACATGCACGTATACAGACACATTCTCACAAATGGTCTCTACCCTGCTGTCCTTCTATTCCCCAAGGCTACGGTCATGCATTTTCACTTCATATTAATTTTTTTTATTTGTACTTCCTGGCCTTCTGTGATTCATGACCACAAGAAGAGAGAATGAGCAGTGAGGGCAAACAAAATGAATATTAGCGGTACAGACATGCAGGATTGAGCTGTCCAGTGGCCTTATCGCTCACTGAAATATTTGCTTGCACTTCTCAAGGCAAACAAAAATGCTTTCTGAACTTTTGAGTTTTCTCTGTATCGACAGTGACTTACATTTATACTCACATATTTGCACTATAAGATTAGCCGATTTTGAGCGGTAGAAGTAGATTCTTGCACTTGTCACAAGAATTTCTGACTTCAGCATCCTTAGGCTAAATTAGTTTCCGAAGATGCATGTAGTTGAAGTTGACTATTTATTGGTAAATCCCACAGATACAGATACCTGAGAAGAGGTATGCAAATAAATTAGAATTACACTAGTGAAAGCTGGACAGTGCGTGCAAAAGCTCCTGTTACAGGCTTCTTCTTCTTCTTTCAGCTGCTCCTTTCAGGGCACAGCCTCAGGTATCTCCATCTCACTCCATCTCTTGCATCCTTTGCTGTCACGCCAACTGTCTGCATGTCCTCCTTACATCCATGAATCTTTTCTGTGGCCTTCCTCTTTTCCTCCAGCTTTGGCAGCGCCATCTTCAACATCCGATTCGTAGTAAATCCACCATCTCAACCTTGCCTCTTTTATTTAGTCTCCAACTCGCTCAACCTGAGCGGTCACTGATGGGTTTGTCTGGCACAGACCCACCGCTGGAACGAGACAATTCTACTACAATGGCAAAAGCAAGACGCAAGTCACCAAAGTTCTTTGGTAATCACGTGCACGAGGGACAGAACTGTGACGAGTGCTGTTCCTGATGCTTGAACCCCAGTCACTCTCAGTCAGCCCCCCCGTAGCACTGTTCTTTATTGAGGTTACATGAATATGCATAGTCTCATTAAGATATGACATCTTACATAGGTGTACATGTGAACAAAGAGTACCATCTGTGTGTATGTGTAAGTATGCGTGTGTGTGTATGTGGGGGGGGGGGGTGACCCCATGAACGAGTCACCTGCTAAACAAAAGGCACTTATACCTAAACGGACATAGATGTGATTCCAGAGCACTCTGGAATGCATACAGTCTTTGCAGACCACTAAGGATCACACATCCTATCACTACACAATCGATTATACACCTCTAAGAATATATGGTTATATATTTCTAAGCATAAATGACAATCCACAATATAAACCTAACAGTCACTCTGATGTACTCTTTTCTAATCACAAAGCAAGCCATACTATTTGTCAGATAATTGTTCAGGTTTAGTGAGTGGAATTAGCAGAGGTGAAGACCAGCATACAGCTACTGGCCACATGTGCTACAAGTGTCAGTCCAGGCTGTCAGACTCTTAATTATACAGCCTTTAAGTAATATAATTTAAACATCTTATAAAAGCTGGGAAACTTGGACACATCATCTCTACCACATTATAACCATGTTTATTTCTGCTGTAAAGTTGCACATTTTAATATGGGAGTCTAATCAAATTCTCATTTGGAGCCAGCTTCAAGTGGCCACTCATGTTAGTGCGGTTTTTGCCACTTTGAGGCTGTTTTAATTTTCCAGACATGGAGGCTGTTGCTTGTACGCACTGCATCTCTATCGAACATGACCTTCGTAAAAGTTAATGAAATTAGACTGCAATGGGCTGGATGCATTAATTCCAATCATGACTTACAGCCATGTGTGACAGTCAGGAAGACTATGCTTATATTTGTATTTGAGAGGGGCACAATGGTGCCAAATATCTTATTCTATGTGTAGTAATGCAACAATGCTCATTCACATTCGACTCTTCAGTGCAGTGAGGAGGCAATCAGTTCACAGCACTGGAGGAGCAGCAGATTGAAGCACAGATACAGTTCTGCATGTACTGATTAATATCATAATTTCCTATCTGCTAACACACTGAGAAAGTTCCTTAAATCTGCTCTAAAGCATGTTTGAAAATCTAGTCCGCTCAGGAGTTACTATTTTTATCATGAAATATTCATTAACATGTGATAGTCAAATACCCCAAGGACGTATGTATGAATATTTGAAGAGTGCTTACTTGCTGTAATGTGGTTTAAGATGTAATTCCTGCTGGGTTTGCAGCAGTTGGTTTGATTAAATTCCATGCACGAACTCAGTTCATAATACTCACACTCTGTTCATTGTGTCAGCTTAAACACAGCAGGGTGACAAATTGTTGCTCATATGAAAAGGCCTGCATATCCATATGCATAAGCAGTTCTTGGATATGCATGCCTACTGGTGGATGCAACAGACTGCAGGTGACCACTGGCAAAAAATATCCTTCCTATCGTTCAAGAGTTGATGGCTGAATATTATTCATGTCTCTCTCCCTCTCTCTCTTTCTTTCTATGTTTTTCTATGTGTGTGTGTGTGGGGGGGTGGGTGTGGTTGACAGTCTGCTGATGGACTAACACCTTTTTTCCCTCTCACTAGAGCTTTGGAGACCCATTCAACATAATAAATGTCCCTCAGATCCATCTATCTCTATATTCACAAGCATGCAATTAAGTCTGTAAGTATTCGGACAATCCAAAAATTGTCCTAGTAGTTTTCGTCCTCTGTCCATCACAGTGATCAACATGTGATTGAAGTGCAAATTTTCAGCTTAATTCAAGCGGTTTTAACAACATTTTGGGATTAACTGTTTGGGAATTACATACATTTTATACACAGGACCAAATTTTAAATATGAAGATAAATGATGAAAATCATTTTCCCTCGATGCCTGCATAGCCATGAGCCAGTGGACATCACTAAATGCCATGTCCCCTTTGCTGAAATGATTTGGTAGGCTTTTACTGCAGCCGGCTTAAGGTGTTATTTGTTTGTGGGTGTCTCATGCTTTTGTTTTGTTCTTCATAACTGAAAATCATTCTCTGTTGGGTTGACACAAGGTTACTGACTTTTTCATTAAAAATATGCCAATTCTTTGGTTTGACAAACTCTTTGGTTGCTTTTGTAGTATGCTTTGGGTCATTATCCACTTGTCAGTTTTTCAGCATTTGGCTGAATCTGAGCAGAGAGCATAGCCCTGTACGCTTCAGATCCTGCTACTTCCATCTCCACTCACATTATCAATAAAAGCTAGTGACCTGGTTCCACTGGCATCCATACATGCCCATGCGTAACACTGACAATCTTTCCTTCTTGTTCTTAAATGTAACCAGGGGTTTGCATCTTGTTGTAAACCAAAGATGTCAAACACATCAGGGGGCACACACAGCCCTCTTTGATGGTAAGTGAGTCATTCCAGTGAAACTTTGCTTTCTACAAGTGTGAAGAAGTGTAATTACACATTTGATGTCTGTGATATTTAATATAAGAAGAAGAAAAACAAAGCACACAATTTCAACAGCAAATCTCAATTTTCTTTCAGTGTGATTAAAAAAAATGCTGTCAGTGTGACTCCTGGGGCTTAAAATGCAAGAAATAAAACATAAATGTGAAAAATTACAAAAAAGACTGTCCTTTAAATATAATGCAGGCTGTTAATTTTAATTCACAGTATTAATTTTTATTATTATTTTAAATTGTGGGCTCATTGTAAAAACAAATGATATTTTTAGAGAAACGATGAAAGAATTTTAATTTCACTGTTTGTCTATTGCTTGTTTATTTTAGTGTAGCGTAATTGCTAATAGGGGAGGACTTTGTCAGCAGGAAAAGCTGTTAAAATGATCCAAATATAGCTCAAGGTCAACAAATTTTCCAACACTGTCCAGTGGACTAGATTGGAGTCTTTGTCGGGCCCCGGGGCCTCGTTTTTGACACCCCTGTTGTAAACGTTCTGTATTCCATTCAGCAAGAAATCACTTGACAAGCTCTAGACTTTGACAATAATACACTTACCTCCCCCAGATTTTGACAATGATACACCTACCTCCCCCAGAGTGTTCTTGAGTTGGCTAGACATTTAGAGGCTAGAACAGGGGTGGGCAATCTCAGTCCACAAGGGCCGGTGTCCCTGCAGGTTTTAGATCTCACCTTGGGTCAACACACCTGAATCACATGATTAGTTCATTACCAGGCCTCTGGAGAACTTCAGGACATGTTGAGGAGCTAATTTAGCCATTTAAATCAGCTGTGTTGGTTCGAGGACACATCTAAAACCTGCAGAGACACCAGCCCTCGTGGACTGAGATTGCCCACCCCTGGGCTAGAAGATTTTCTTCTTCTTCACCAAGGAAAGAATTTCACGATCATCCACTTTAGTCATATTCTGTGGACCTTAAGGGTTTTTTTTTTGGTGTTGCTGACCTGGTAAGTGCATTCATTCTTTTTTAAAATGTACCGGATTTTCAATTTGGCCACTTCAAGTTTTTTGCTAGTTCTCTGATTGGTTCATACATGTATCCGTTCTCTTTGACTTATTCTTATCAGGGATGGGGCGTCTAGAGCCTGTCACAGCTACCATAGCGCAAAGGCAGGTTACACCACGGTCCAGGCCTTCATATTAAGAGTTCCAGTGACCAGCTACCAAATGAAAGTTTAATATGCATTTTTTTTATCTGCTTAATTTGTCATAAAATAGAGAAAAAGACTCATCTTTCTGCGAAACTGCTTGTCAGTCAATTGTCTAATTAACTTTGAGATTCTGAAAATGAGGGGATATGTATGAAAATGATTTTAACTCCTAAACAGCTGAGGTGATGCTTTTGTTTACCCCTTGTATTAAAGCTGAAATCATGCACTGCAGTGCTGTACTGAGGCAAAACTACAACAATTGTGTCGCTGTGCAAATACGTGCAAACCTAATTGTGGCGTTTAAGGGAACTTTATTTAACGCTAACCTGAAGAAACACCTTAGCATTCCCAAAGCAAGGTCATGAAAAAGTACTTAATGATACAAGCACAGCCCAAAATAAACCAAAGAGGCACCATCTAGAAATACAAAATTAGCAAGCCGCCAAGCCCAGCCACAAAAGCTGTCCTAGATGCTGAGAAAAGCGCCTTCGGGAGCCCATGCAGAATGCTTAAGGCTGGGTTGTTATTTTCAGAGGCAATAATTAGGGTCTGTAGTGTCAAGAATTCTCCCTGGCTCTGCAAATATTATTTTGTATGACAACTATTAAATGGCATTAAATCAGCCCAAGAAGCGTATTAGCTATGTTACTTGGGCATAACTATTTAAACTTGAATATGCATAATGCCGGGTGAAAAGAAGCAGAGCAGAAGGAACGGGCAGCAGATCCAAATGCTAAAAAGAGTTAGAAAGCCTCTTTAAACACTAAGAGCTAGAAGGAAATTGAAATTATGTACAAACAGATGGACGAGTGGGAAAAAGTTGATTGAATTCACTTTCTTCCTTGATATCAATTAGTCATGACCCCCTTAGACTTAATACTAAATTATAAATACCTTTGCTGGAACCTGTCAATTATTACACACATCACTTTTAAATGGAACTAAAGGGCCCTTGAAATAAGTAATTACTGAAGATTATTATATGCTGTCGGAGACATCACCGACCCGTCGACTGACAATTGATGCGTGAGAGCCTGCAGTTTTCTGAGAGACTGGCAGTCTCCTTGTTTTAATCAAAACATGACACATCAATCAATGTCAAGGTCAAATAATACTTGTTAGTGCTGCTCCCATAGATCCACATCATAATCAGCCTGTTACTTTCTCCTCTTTTCACAGTTCAAGGTATCAGCTGACACACAGTTCTCCACACACTTCCTGTGAACATGCATAAATGAATGCACGCTTGCTGAAGTGTGTGGTTTGAGTGCGTGCATGTGTGTCTGTATGAGAATGAGGATGTGAGGATAATTTAATTATGGTCCAGATAGAGTGGGTTACTGGGGTTAATATCCTGCATGCACTCTGTTCCTCTCCGGACACAGTAATTGCTTTAAGCACATTAGGAACTTTATTGACTGTGATGGCCTTTTAAGACATTACATTTCTGCTGCTTAGTGTCAGACAAGCGTCGTCCAGCTCTTACTGTCTCCCACTATCTCGTTTTCTTTCTTTCCCACTCCAAGCCTTCCCTCTCCTACCCCTGTCACTCTCTTCTTTATGCATGTGTCTCCTTGCCTGTATCGGCTTAATTGAGGCTCCATAAATATGATGAGATTTGTATAGCGCCTCATCCGTAGAGGCGGCTTGATGAGGTTTGACTGGCAGGTGATTAACTCCTCTTAACCCACAGAATCATTTGTCCTCCATGGAACAGTTGCACTAATGACACCATAAAAGACTTCTTCATGTGTCAAATTCTGGAGCGGAGCTCTGGAGAGAGAGAATCCAACAACTGCCTGGAAAAAAAAAGTGCAGCCCCCTCACTTTCTTTTTTTTTTTTTTCTCAGTCGAGATCAATCCTCTCAACACCCCCTCAGTAGATGTCTCCATTTTCACTCAACTAGACCCCTTAATAAGGATGGAGGTTAATGGAAGGAGTTATTAAAAAGTCCTCACCTTCCTCCTGGGACCGCTAAAGAGGAATTATATGAAACTAAGTGCACTTACAGCCCCAGTATGAGTTATTTCATATTTCTGTTCTCATAAATCCACATCCACTGCAGTCATGACAGGAGTGGAAAACCTGTTCTGTTCAAGAAAGAATTTGGTTTTCTCTTCTCTTTAGGACAAGACCTGCGGGAAGATTCCTCGGAGGTTTCAAGTGGAAAAAAAAAAAGAAAATTACAGGTTGACGGTGTGGTGGTCCGGGATACGAGACCTGGAGAAAGAGATAGGGATGGGGAGAGAAGTTAAGGAACGATGTCACAGCTGACAGGGGAGAGCAAGCAATATTAGTCAATGTGGTCCGGGATACGAGACCTGGAGAAAGAGATAGGGATGGGGAGAGAAGTTAAGGAACGATGTCACAGCTGACAGGGAGGAGAGCCAAGCAATATCTACAGCAGATAAGGACAGTGTGCAGAGATAAATGATCTAATATCTGCATGGATCAATGTCTGTACTGTCCCTCTAAAAGGGGCTCTCCTTATAAATTGTGCTATCCCTGTTACCACATGCATACAAACACACACTTTCGCACTGCGTATACTCTTTGATATTACACACTCAACAACTATCTCAATTAGTACGAATTAAGATATATTGCTGTAAAGTTCCGGCGTGTCGAGAGCACTACGTAAATGTCTTCTTCCAGCTGTCCAGTCCCATCACTCTGCAGATGGTAGCAGGGAGGAAATCTATTTGTTAAGATAGCACTATCCAGCTAATGAGAAATCAAGTGGCTTGACTTTTCACATGAATCCCATCATGTCCACTCGTATTATGAAACCAGGATGCCATTAGTTGCACTTAGTGTGACTAATGGCCACACTGAGTACCTTTGCTAACAGACCCACCTTGTGGCAAATGAAATAATTACAATTCAAAGCATCACAGAGTTTGTCAGTAAAGTCTTATTTTCATTTATTAAAGATGAGTGGATGATTGCCTCAGTAGGATATATAACTAACTTTAGCTATGTCTCACACTTATTTAACCACCATTTCTGGATTTGTTCTTGAATTTTTGGCCCAGAGAACAGCACATACGTCGTCTGACAAAACAAGGACCCATTTTCCCCACTTTTCCAAATTTCACATTTTTAAATGCTGAATCATTTCGTTTTCATTGCATCTCATTAGAGACCAACACCTGAAGCCTATACTGCAAATTAACATTCAGCTGACTCATTTACGAAGTTGTCTTTGGGATTACCATGTATTGTATTCACGGCATGAACTGCTGCATCAGTTGCCAGAACAGCAAAAATTACAAACCGTTGCAGAGAGCATAGCCTCAGTACAGAGCTACTTTCATCTACCCCCTTATTCACAAGGGGTCGCCTCTGCAGGTAGTTCAACATATTTGATTTAGCAGATTTTTACACCAGATGTCCTTCCTGACACAACCCCAAAGGGATTTGTGTATCCGTCTGGGATCAAAACAGGGATCTTTCACTTGTTAGGCAAGTGTGTAAACCGCTGCCCTACGTAGTCAAATATAAATCCTTTTAAGTCTGAGAGGTTTTACAGCGGTCCTCTAAACTACACAATAACACTAGCACAGCAGTAGGCTCACGAAATATACAACTGTTTATTCTGTTCAGTTGTTGAGCATGTCAGCATTACTGCCAAATGCAAAATACAGCTGAAGACATGATTAGTTTTGTATTTATGTCATTATAAATAGACTGTCAAGATTTTATGGCGTGCATCCATCAGTCTTTAAAATATCTGCATATTTGCAAGACGTTTAAATATCTTGATCCTACGTGCATTCATATTCCGTGCTGCGTGTCCTCATTGGCCTTGATTTATTCAAGCCCAGCAAACTGTGGCTGAACAACTGGGAAATTAGCCAGTAAAGACTCTGCATCATCTGCTTTTAAACATTAAGCAGTTTCCTCAGAGCACTTTGGTGCTGACACAATGAAATCCTATTGATGGCAGTAAGAAAGCTGTAAGAGTGTTTTGTTTTCTAAAGTATTCTTTACACAAGCTGTAACATGAAGAAAATACTCCAGACACGATTTCCAAAGCAGAGTCAGACAGATGTGTGATAAAATATGAGGTAATTCTATGTGAGGTTTTGCTGCAAGCCAGCCCTGCTTTTATTATTTATTTTGAAATGACAAATATCTTTGGTAGAAGACATGGATAAAGTGTGGTGGGTAACATAGCAAAAGCTCTGCAGCTTTTCTGTAGCATGATGAATATTGAATCACTTTGTTTCAAGGGGAAATTTGTCAGTTACTAATTTCAATCCAGGGAGGGAATTAAGGAATCGCTCATTTTCATTTGGGTGCACTGGGAATAACAATGGAACATATTGATCCTCGGGGTATTAAACGAGTTCCCAGTAGTGAAAGTGAAAGACATTTATTGTCCTTAGTGCACACTATTTAGCTTAATTCTTCATCATGAACATGTAGATTGTGAGAAAAGAAGTACAGGGCTACCAGGGGCAATGTTTTCCTGAATATTAGGAGTTCAGAGCCATATATGGGCATGTGTCTCACAGAGATGATGTCACCAGTGACTGCAGGGGCTCCCCTGCTTGGGTGTGTGCTTCTCTAGGCCAGAAAGGAAGAAGTAGGGCATGCAGATAGTATGGTGTGTGGCCAAAGGAGGGACAAATGAAAAAGAGGAATAGTTGAGCAATAATTGTTACATCCCGATAGAGCTAAAGGGGAAGACTGCAAAAGTTTATGTGAGTTCACGGTAGAATGAGACAGGAAAAACCAAGAAATAAATGCATTAGAAGCACTGTCAGAGTGCCAGCATTACACTGAGGAGAGGCTGCTTCTAGTTTGCTCTAAGCTTGTTCCTGATCTTACTTGAAGGCTTCCTGTGTCAGCAACATGGGAAAATCAGGTAAGCAGATATTACACCCTGAAGCTTTTGATGTTTATTGTTGGCTGAACTTTGTCCCCATGTAGCTGTACAAGAGCCATGTTTGTTTACTGTCTGCATTTGTGGGCAATGCTCTTTTAAAATTAGAACAGACCACATACAGAAGTCTAAATCTAATTTCTGTCCGATGTCCTTTTCCGTTATTAATTTACTGTCCTCTTTGATGGCACTAAATTGTAAGGTAAGATTAATAGTGGTGCTGCATGCTTTCTCTCAGCCTTGTTGTTTCTGCGGGGCTGTTTCAATGTGCCTATTGTGTGAGTGCTCAAGAGACTGTGAGACTCATGAAAAGCCCCATGAGTGATAGGCACCAGTGGTGGTGGTGGTGGTATGGGGGAGGGGGCTGATCCAGATGATGTTTTCTACTTCATCACCTGTCACCAAGTTGGTACTCGCTATCTGAGGTCACTCAGGCTGTAGGTTTCAGCTTGAGTTTGTATTCTACAACCTTCCCCGAGTCTTCATGTTGCATCATTACGTCTGTTTTGTCAGAGGCTGACTTAGTCTTCCTGTCTGTCCTGTTTGTCTCCCAGCCTCAAAGCAGTTTGCTGAGGAGGTGCTGCGGTGCCACAACGACTACAGGATGAAGCACCAGGCTCCTCCGCTAAAGTTGAGCAGCAAGTTGAGCAAAGAGGCTGCCCGGTGGGTTAATGCACAAACAGATCAAATTAGAAACCTAATTAGCAAGGACTGCACATACTAGTCACTGTCAAACTGCTCCAGATAACAGTGACAGTTCCAGCGTAGCCTGTCAGATGCAATAACCACAAATTATAAAAAATATATCTTGGGTGTTTGGTTTGTTTTCATTGTGATTACAGGTTTTGTTGACAATTTGTTGTCACTAATTGCAGCTGCATTAGCATTTTATTCAAATGAAGTTTGAATAAAGCTTCATTTCCACTAGACTCTTAGAGAAGCTCCACAAGAGAGTTAAATCTCTCGAGTATGTCAGCTTGTCCACCGCTGTCAGGAAGGACCGAGGCAGCTGTCATAAAAGTCTTTCTCCATTTTCTTGAACATGTGTGATGGTGCAAAGCAACAATAACATGGCGCTAAAAACCTCTTCAGTTGTGTGATCCCTCACAGGAACATTTGAAGCACAATTAAAATGACAGTATTATTTTAAAAGCCATGTATGAACTTAACTGTAATATCTATCAGTATTCCAATATCAGTATTGGAATTTTGAGATAATCTGATGCTTGCATGGAAAACTCAGTTCACTGGAACTCGACGAATGGGGTCTGTCTCACTCTTTGTGTAAACTGACTGGGCACACAGCTCTTACACGCTGTGTGTCTTGGACATGATTTGTGTATGAAAAACATAAATAAACTAAGTTTAAAGCACAGTTCAGCCTAAATGGATAACAGATCTCACTGCTTCCACAACATATGTTTTTCTTTTCATCCAAAAACCCCAAATGACCTCGACAAGGAAGAATTTAACATGTATTCTGGATCCACAGCACATTGTGTGGGTCAATCAGGCCACTGCACACCTATATGAACAGCTATGCTAACATGTGAAAACTGTAGAAACTACCTTGGAATTGATTATAAATTAGAATAATCTGGACACTACTCCTGAATTATATCACTACAAAGTTCATAGGACAGCAGTTACTCCTATATGTTTGTAGTGAGTTAACTTTATGACTTTACAACATCAAATTAGTCTATGAAAATTTATTTTGACCCCTTGAAATGATCCAAGGGTTGGGCTAACCCAGATTGTTTACAGAGGAAATGGTTTCTGTTTCTGCCCCACAGGTTTAAGGTTGTTGTTCTGTTTCTTGTAGAAGTGGAGAGCAGGATATTGCAGCAAGCTTTAAAAATGTGAAAGCTCTTGAAATTATTCTTGATGAAATATGTCTGTATAAGTTCCCAATCATCCAGGTAGTCCTTTGAGCTTTTCAAAAAGAAAGAAACTAGACTTATTTAAGAAGAAAACATCTCGTCTAAGACCTTTCATCCAACAGGCTCCTTCAGTTTTTAAAGCAAAAGCTGGAGTATTGCAGATATTTTGAGTGGGGGGGGTCGAAGCACCTAGGAAGAGACTGATAGTCCAGTCTTGAGATCCCTTACCAGGTGCTTCAACCCCCACTCACACCTTGCCTGACAACGGCCATCTCCAAAATATCTGGAGACTGTTCACTGTTTGTTTTTAGAACTGAAGAAGTCTCTGACATGACAAGCGAAATTTCTTTCCTTTTTTCCTAGCTCTTCAATTTACTGATGAAGACTTGGACTTTTTAAAGTGTGCATCCACACATGCATCACCCAAAGTATAAATGGGAATTAACTCAAGCAGTACACTGTACAATTTTCTTTGTCTCTCTTTACAGTTATGCTGAAAGTCTGG